GAATGGAGAGAGAAGTAGGAGAAAATGAGGGGGAGGAAAGGAAAACCTGTGCGACCAGGAAGATTGAGCCTGGTTAGGAATAGAAGATAGGAAAGAGAGAGACAGAGACAGAGACAGAGAGAGAACATAAAAGAGGGAGCCAATATTGGTTTGAAGATAAAATTGAACACAAAGAAAGGTCGAGAGAACTACAAGACTGCTCCCATCTAACAATCTCAGCTTCCGTGGAAAGGCTACCATAAATGCCCTTCCCGGAGAGTGAGATCAACAACTAACTTCTCCATGGAGCCCTCAACTAATGCCTGTTGAAAATAGGAGCAAACACCCATACATAAACACTGAGTCGAACTAGAACCCAGAAGCAGATGGAGAGGACAAGACCATGCGGCAGAAGCACATAGAGACAGCTTACCTGAACAAGGAGGAGCTAACGGCCACTGGACTGATAGCTGGGAAGCCAGCATGGGACTGACTCAGGCCCCCCTGAATATGGGTCTCAGCCAGAAGGACTGAGCAGTCTAAGAGACCTCAGACAGTGGAGCCAGGATGTATCCCTGGTGCACAAAAGGACTTTGGGAACATATCCCCCATGGAGAGATAACTGCCTTAATCTAGAGACAGGAGAGAAGCCCTACTCTGTGATTCTTATATTTTTGGTTGTGAGCTTATCCTTTAATGGCTGAGCCATCTCTTCAGTCCTACTCCATGATTCTTTTGTCCCATGGCTGAGGTAGAGATGAGCACTTTCTGACATGATTTTTCTATTTCATGGGCTACTCTTTCCGTTGCCTCTTACTCTCTAGGTTTCAGACAACACTGTAACAGGAACCAAGTCTGTCGTAAACTCTGTTATGTTGCAGCAACATATAGCACAATTTTACATTGTAATCTTATGCCAGATGCCTCACTAGAGAGTGTCACAGAACATCATTCTGTAAACTACCATGAACCACCGCCTGCTCCAGAATGACTCCTTACTGCCTTTAGACCTGCGTCTTCACATCCATTTCTATTCTTCTTGAATGTCAGCCTTTCCTTAGCCCATGCTCCTATAGGGCCAGATTCATCCTTCTGTCTCCCAAGAGTATTTCTCTATTCATCCCTGCCCATTGACCCCAAACCTATTACTTTTAGAGTTGTCTTCTTTTAATACAGCATATGCTTAGTGCTGTATTTTGTGTACCTGTGTTGTATTTCCACAACCGACTGTAAGCTCGTGTAAGGAACCAAATAACATAGTAGTTTTGAGTAAGAACTTTTAAGTTTTAAGGCTTAGATACACCAATGGGTTTTCCTGGAAAACTAGCTACTATGCCCGAACTTCCAAGTCTGCACTGGTAAAAGGGGGATATGTCACTTACATGGGTTTGCCAAAGTGAACAAATTAATACTTGGCTGTTTAGCCCAGCATCACTAGACACACAGCCAATACATATTAAATTGAAGTATAAACCCATATATGGGTTATCTGTCACGCAATGCCATGTCCTGACCGAGTGACAGTGCCTTTTTCTGAGTCTATTCACAGTGTCATGAGGCTTCCCAAACTCGTATTTATTGAGACTGGCATCTCACTTCCTCCCTCATGCCGTCTCTTACAGATGAATAAGGCATTTGCTGGCTTCCTCTCTTCTAACCAGTCAGTGTTTCTTGCTTTGCTGTGACTTGTTTCCACAGTCCAGGGACTTAGAGTTCTCATGATGTGTTAATTTTTCCATCCAACTGTCTCTAAATTAGATTATGTAGGGTATTGCAGTTGTCAAAGGGCAAAAACATAATTCGATCACAAAATCTTATGAAAAAGGACACAAGAAAGCTTTTTTTGTAAACATACAGGGCAATCAGTGCTTAAGACATTTTCACAGATGTTAAAATTCAAGTTACAAGTCCTTTCTGGAACAAAGTATTTTATAATTGTTTGACTAAATAATTGCTGTATTTATCTGACACCTTATTTTTGTTTAAAAATAAGCCAGTTTTTCTAAAAATATTTTTAATCACATTCTCCTGGACTGAAGGCATATATCCTTTGCTAATTCTGAATATTATCAATATTAATTATTGTTATTATTAATTTTGTTGGTGGTGCTTTTTGGGGATACTCTAGAGCCCTCATTTTCCTAGAACCTGCTATATATTAGGTTGAACTTGAAATCACAGAGCTCTACTTATCTCTGCCTTCTGAGTGCTAGGTTTAAAGGCATGTATCACCATTGCTTACAGTACTGAAAATTATTAGTGAAATCCTGACTATGTGATAGATAAAACAATTTGCCTTATTTTAACTGTGCCATTTTAATAGTTACTAAGATCCTGTGATTTTTGTAAACTCTCTACCCACTGACTGTTTATTTTAAATTATTTGTTTATATCCCTACACATGTCTCGATTGGCCTTGTCATAACAAATGCTCTTGAGTGAAATTTTCAGTAGTGAATTTAAGTATACAAAACCGTTCTAAGAATTAAACGTACACCACAGAACAAGTTATATGGAGATATTCTCATGAAACTTAGGGTCTTGGGAAAATAAACCATAAGCAAGCATATTAGTTCTAGATATTGGGATTAAAATAGTGAGCATGACCAAGGTTTACTCAGAGGATAATTTAAGCTAATTAAAAGGCTTTTCAGATAAGGTAGAATGACTATTGAAATATGATTGGCAACGTTATCTGCTAGAATATTTGCTCAGATGCTAGAAACAGGCTGGTGCAGAAAATGGATGCTTTTGGGGTCTTCCAGGAAGAGAAAGGCAGCCACGGTGGTAAAGAAGGTGATGGAAGGAAAGACAGAGTTGGAGAAGATGGAAACATCACCCTGAGTGTAGCCTGGTAGTCTAGATGAGGTTTTATTTTCGGTTTAAGCATGTTCTGTGAAAGAGCAGTACAGTGTGATTCACACCTTAGCGCCGCACTAGGTGTGAAATGAACCACTGCCAACAGGAATGGAAGTGTCAACTCAAGAGGCCAAGTCAGTGGCCTGGGTAAGAACTGACAGTGCCTGGTGGAGAGCATGCTCTAGGTGGTCCTCCCCGATTCCTTTCCTCCCGTTCCCTGATCTAGCTCTTACTTAAAAGTTACAGCACAAGTAGACACACCTGTTAATCTAAGCAAGCTATTAGTTCTCCCCTTTGGGGACCATCTTCAGTGATCGGCTGACAAGAATTCTCTTGCTCAGAGGTGAGGCTGACCTTGTGGAATGAGGTTCTCCATCACCTCCTGTGGGACCAGCCTGCAACTAATTGTTAGCTGAGACAAGCTTCCTGCTTAATTAGCACCTGTCTCCTATTCTCCTCTGCATCTCTGCTCCTCTTCCCCTCCATCAATTCCTTGAGCAAGAATCTTTATCTCAGTCTACTTTTCTTAGGGAGCATTGCCTAAAACATGGTTTAGGACAGGAGAGACTGAAACAGAGCAGAGAGACTGGATTAAGATTATTCTGGATACAGAGAGTATAGAAATGGATCTTGTATGTTGGAAGAAAAAAGCCACAGATAGATACTAGACTAATTCCTAAATTGTGTTATTGAGAAACTTGGTGGAGGAGAGGCTAGAACTTCTAGTAAAAAGTATTGGGAAGAAGCACGTTTGCAAAATAGAGAAGGAAAGGGGGTTAATCTGATACGCTAAGTCTGAGAAGTCTCCAAATGGATATGTCAGGCAGGCAAATGAATGTCATAGTCTTTTACTCCAAAGGACAAAGTTACAGTAAGTGTCTAAACAGTCTCATTCATACAACACTTGAGGGCACACAGCTGAAAGAGTCGCTGGGGTTTGAGAGTTTCCCATGATGGGTTCCCAGCATGGCAACATTCAGAAGATGAGCACTGATGGGAAGTAAGTAAAGCAAATGAAGCAAGGGATGGCCTTTTAATAGTGAGGGCACTAGAGAGGGCTCAGTGGAGAACCAGTTACATAAAGGGCTTTAAGGGGTGTGTGACTATATGAATGAAAGTTGTTGATTAAAATGAAGGTCATAGGTTATGACAACAGGGTGTAATTAGTAACTCTAATAACAGAAGGCTTTGGTGAAAGACAGTTTTGAGATGGTGGACATCTGAATGTCCAAATCCACGAGGCTTAAACATGAAATGTGTGCTCGCTTTTAACATACCAATAAAATGGAAAAAATATTTCACTAAGGAAAAAAGAAAGCAGAAAATAAGGTGAGAATGGAAAATTGAGAAGCAAATCTGTTACCTACGGAGCTGTTTCTGTGGGAGTCGGAGTAGCAGATGAAATAGTGTCTACTTTAGGGGGTGCAGTTAATCCAAGATATATTTTCCTTGAGTTGACATGCTAGAAGGAAGAAATCCATTATCCAGGAAAGAAGAATTACAGTAGAAAATATTAGAATAGACAAGAAATGATGGAGGCTGTTGACCTTGAGCCGGAGTTGGCATTGTCCCCAAGCACTTAATACTTGCATCGGGAAGAATGACAGAAGCTATGAGTGTCAGTGCAGAAAGATTTATAGATGTTGCAGTCAGCGGTTGGATTAATTATTAACTTTCTTTCTGTGTTCCTGTTGAAACTAAAATGAGTACTCCAGTTGATCAGGTGGCGGTAGAGTGCATACTTTAGAGATTTTACAGGACGTCACATCTAGTCTAAGTGTCTCTGTCTTAACTTGGAATCCAGATGAAGCCAGTTGACCACCATAATCCAATGAGCTCAACTTTCCCACATGGCTAAAATATAGGACAGGCATTATTAGTCATGGCTGTAAAATAGGGCGACAACCCATTTCATAAGAGATGTGCAACTGTGGATGAAGGCCGGCCTAGCTCGTGCAATTTCTGTTGGCTTTCATAGAGTGGGTTGTTGGCTAGATCTGAGAATGTGTGTTCCTCTGAGGCCTCCTCTTTACCCCAGTTAGACTTAGGGGCAATACCCACCCCCTCGTGCGTGCACCACTCCCAGACCGACGAGTCTTTATCCCAGTTAGCAGGGCTGTGGCTGACGCTGAGACCTTGAACATCTTGTTGTTTCCGAACAGGGAATTACGGCGAGAGTGGAATGGACGCTTTCAAAGAGCTGGCTGCCCAGGAGGGTCTCTGCATCGCACACTCAGACAAAATCTACAGCAATGCAGGAGAGAAGAGCTTTGACAGGCTCCTGCGCAAGCTCCGGGAGCGGCTTCCCAAGGCCAGAGTTGTGGTCTGCTTCTGCGAGGGCATGACGGTGCGGGGCCTCCTGAGTGCCATGCGACGCCTGGGTGTGGTGGGCGAGTTCTCTCTCATTGGAAGGTAAATCTCAGTCTCTCTCTCTTCTCCTTTCCCCTCCCCTCCCTCTCCCTCCTTCTCTTCATCCCTCCCTCCCTCTCTCCAAATTTTGGGCACGTACATGAATTCTTTATACCAAACCAAGCCTCTTGACTCAAGGTGAAGGGCACAGGCAGCACAGAGCTGAGCGCTTGCATCCCCCGTCACGCAGAGGCAGAGCAGACCTGCTGGTGTGTCCCGGATAGAGAGAGACATGCTGAGCAGCAGGACTGGTAACATGCTGATGAGACGCTTTCAGAGACATGATGTGTTTGTCAGGCTGTCTCCTTGTCCTGGCAAGTAGTCCGTTGCTTTGACTTCTTCCAGATCCGATGCCCAGCACAGTATACTGGTGGAGGCAGGAACAGAACATAGATATTAAGAGTGGGAATTTAAAGAACCTGGCTGAATGGACATGGTGACACACAGTAGGACCTTATGGTGACATACTCCCTTGTCATACTGTGTGTGTGTGTGTGTGTGTGTGTGTGTGTGTGAGAGAGAGAGAGAGAGAGAGAGAGAGAGAGAGAGAGGAGAGAGAGAGATTTCATGATGTTCCAGTGTGATTTCTGCAGATGTCTTGTGATGGGTTCAACTTCTCTTTCCTCTTTCTGGAGGATACGGACCCATTCCCAGCATCCTTTATTTTTTCACTATACGCTTTTGACCTAACAGATTCCTTGCTTACTTATCATCTTAACATTGCCCAGATGAACTGCCGTTTATCTACCGATTCTACCTCAGTACCCCCACACACCTCCAGGTTTTGGGGCCCCCTCTTTCTCCTACACCAGGTGGGGTGTGATCATGCTGCTCCTACAGAATGGCCTTAATTTCTGGCCTCTTCTATTGGGGGCTGTGGAACAGTAGTAGCAGCATTGTCTTGTCCCCAGCAGACTGTCTTTCTTCCTGTTTCATGGCCATGCTGACGATTCCGAAGTCCACTCTCACCAGCATCTGGAATTAGCAGCCCAGGACACTTCATTGGCTTTGGAGAAACAGGTAGGATAAAAACACAATGAACAAGTGAAGAGGCATTGAGACACTCTCCAGGAAGGGGAGGCCAGGTCACTCTGTGAGTCAGGCCCTGGGAATTACTGAGTTTGGGTAAGATCGGCACATGTGCACTCACAGTCATCACCTTGCCCTGGCCTGCATGATGCAGGCCTGTGGAACCACCTCGAATCTGCATAAGAAAGCAGGCCCTTTAAGGAGATGCATTTGAAGAAGATTCCCCTTCTCTTGCAGGAGGGAAAGGATGAAAGCTGCCTTGTTGAAGTGTTACTCAGAATACTGTTCTTAATATAAGCACTAGGGCAGATGGCATCCACACAGTCACTCTTCAATTACTTCTATAAAATGCCTGCTACTGTTATTCTTTTTTATATAAAGAATGTTTACTTTTTAAAGTCTGATGTTTATCATTTTAAAAGCAATGATACTGAAGTCTCTCTAATATCTTGGGGGGTGACATACCTTAGCTTACGCAATCCTGAACAGATGTGGCAGATGTGAGCTTTGGGAGTGTGCAGACTAGCTGCTCTATGAAGGATGGTGATCAGAAGTGCTGCTCTGACTTCAGTGTAAACCCGTGCTGTGACCGTTGTTGAAAAACCAGGAGAGGTGATGAAGTGACACCTTAAACCTCTGTGGCTCTTGTCTGTATGCTAATAAGGAAACTAAGCTTATGTAAGCAACCCTGAGAGTCTCTCTTACTCATGAAGAGGTCAGCCACTTGTCCTTGCCTTTCACATCCCTTATTGTCTGCCTGCCCCTGCCCTACTGAGTTCTGTTGTTATACCCCTAGGAACTATTGTCAAAATGATCACCCACATCCCTAAGAAAACCACTGGTTACTGTTATTGAGACATGCATTCCATGAGGTGCCAAAACTGTAGCACAGTCTGCCAAAGTGAGGGAACGTATCTCTTCCTTTCTAGGCTGCCTTCCATGGCGGTCTATCAAGCTGGTGTTGGCTCTTATTTCTGTCTCTTAGGAGGTTTTGAAGAAAACAATATTTCATAGCTTTTGTTCATAATACTCCTTGAAGATCCAGGTATGAGTCTACTGGGCAGCATTGACTGCAATCATCCGCATACTAGGATTAACCTTCCCTTCAGGTGACTAGTTGCTCTTTCGGTGGATGAGTTCTGTTCTGAGTATTGCCAGTAGACACCGAGTGCGCTCAGCTCCCTGCTCAGCAGGCGTGTCCAGAATGGTATCAGGGAATTCTAATTAGCAATGCCGAAAGATACACCACCCTCTCAGGACACAAGGTCAGGGGCTCTTCTTTATGGAGTGCATTTTCTTTCCTCTGACATGGCATAATTCTAGCTGCTGCCAGGCTCACAAGAGGACATTTTATAGGTGGCAATGGCCTCTTTTTAGATAGGGAAAGACAAATGAGTCTTAGTGTAGATTGCAGTAGGAGGTATTTCATTATAAATGAGGGGAATTTCCTGAGTGAAGATCTGCATGCCTCCCTCCCATGGCTCCTGTTTCCCTTTACACATCATGGTATATTAGGAATATTTGACATCACTGCCATGGTATTTCAGGATTTCAAGATTTTTGTTACTACCATCTTCCTAAGGTGCGGTTTTCCTTCACTCAGCCTAGCACAATACTCATGCAATTCTCTCCTCACTTAGCTGTTATCATAACAATCTGAAAAATTTAAGTCAAGTGATGCCAGTCCTTACATCTTATGAACAATACCTTAAAAAGCATTCTAGCATCTTTTATAATGAAGTTCATACAAACATTGCCAATCCTCTCCTTGTGGTCAAGTCTTTAAGCAGGTGTTCTATAACCCAGCAATGAACATAAATCTTAGTAAGCTAATTATGAACTAAAAATCTGTAAGCCTGGACTCCATTAAATACACTGTCTTAGTTACTTTTTTATTTCTCTGGTGACACCAGGACCGAGACAACTTATAAAAGAAAGCAATTGACTGATGGTGTTGGTTCTAGGAAGTGGAGTGGAGTCCATGATCATTGTGGTGAGGAGTATAGCAATGGCAGTAGGTGGGTAAACTTGGCACTGGGACAGTAGTTGAGAGCTTAAATCGGGTACACGAGAACTAGGCTGGGAGAGAAGGAAAGATGGAGAATGGTGTAGGCCTTTGAGACCTCAAAGCCAGCCCCTCCTCTATCCTATAATGGGTCAGGCCTGCACCTGAAGCCACGCCCAAAGGGTGTGGCCACCACCACACATTCATTGGCAAGGCAAGATGCCACTACAGTAGGTCAAAAGGGTTTGTGGTTTGTTTGATGCTTACGCTCGTCCTTTGGTAGTGAGCGGAGTACCTTGCTGTACCAAACACACCCAAACATGGGGGTGAAGATGCAATGTAGGCACCAGTGCTCCCTTTCCATGTTCAGTGAATTGTGTAGGTGCTGTCTTCACCAATAGGGCTTGGCTGTCTGCTTGTGGAGAGGAACCTATTGTCTTGGCAGCAGCCTGAGTTGTTTGAGGGTTCCCATGGGACCCCCTTGGCCAACAACTCAATTAGACGTAATGCAATCTAAGCACCTGATGCTTCGTTTGGTGACAAGATACGGTTTCTCCTGAAGGTATCACCGTTTCAATGTAGAAAATAAAAAAGAAAATTAAAAGTCAAAATTATCATACATTTGGGAATTGTCCATAATGGAAAAATAAACTATGCAGCAAGAAATAGAACTTTAAAGGAGATTTCTTAAGGTTAATAAATATTCTATAACAAAAGAATGTATCAGAGATAATGGGAAAATGGAACAAAACAAACCATGGGCCCAGAGTAATGGCTCTAAAGTACCATGTGACCTTGGTTACTCAGTGAGTTCGCCGCTGAAATGATTTTTTTTTTTTTTTCCTGCAAAAACAAAAGATTTGGCTCTAGCTCCTCTTTAGGCATTTTTTTTTTTTTTTTTTTTTTTTTTACAGCGGTCTTAGGATTTATAATATATTCAGATAGTGTGATGAAGGTAAGATCAATAGGAATGCATTTATGGATTCATTTTATCTAATCTTAGTCATGAATTGGGGTTGTTCAGTCTACATTGCCTCATCAGTCACCTTGCTAGACGCAGGACTCATTGAATGAGCTCAGTGTTTTTATCTGTGGTCCTGAATCCAGCCTGCGGGCTGGCAAGAGACTGACTATGCCTTTGGGATCCCCACCAAGGAAGCCGCTAGGTTTGGTTATAGTAACCATCCTGCAAAACAATATTTTCTTGACTCCACCAAATTATTTTCTTAACATTGTTCCTAGGATTACATTCACCTTATCTAGAGGGATTGTTTTGATGATGTAGATGTAGACGTACTGGAATGTACTGCCCGCCAGGCATTCTACATATACTAAGTGTATCAGTTCACTTAACTATCACAGCCATGTGATTAGAGGCTGTGAATTTTATCTGCATGTTGCTACATGGAGAATTTAAGTAATTTCTAAATGCTACACAGAAACAGTCTAGATTTGAACAATTAGCATCAAGGCATTAGCTTCTGTTATTGTATTCCATGGCTTATAAGGTCAGTCACACTGTGCTTGCTTTGTTTAATTGGCATTGGTATCAGTCCTTAATTTGCTTTCTGTTTGTCCCCTCTTCCTGACACCTATTTTATTGTTAGATTCCCCGCCTTTGGAAAAAATAAGCGGAAGTAACCATATCACACAAGAAAGTGATTTTACATTTCTGATTATACTATTTCTCTAAATCCTTTACATTTATTTTCTAGTATTAACTATTTTTGATGATGACTCAACAAAAGGGCTTGTAAACTCCCCCAAAAACTCATTTTATATTTCTCCCACAATACCTCTGTTTCTGAATATACCTATTTATCTATGGAACTGAACTTATACAGAAGCTATCATCGGTCTCTGCATACCCCTGTTTGTCTATGTAATTGTCCGTATATGATATGGAAGCCTATTTGGGACAAGTGAGTACCGCGTCTCTAAAATTCCAATGATTAAACTTCAAGGAATAAGCTAATGGATTTGTTCTAATTCTTAGACTGGTCTTTTAGCTGACAAAAGTAAATGCTAAAATAATATTTATGTTTAAAATATATATGGGTATGCATGAATTCATACGAATTTCTATAGTAGCTATTGTTGGTTGAGCTCTTGACTTCTCCTCTTGTATTAGCATGCATCTTTGTTCCCAATAACACTGCAAAGCTGGTTTGAAATTCACAGAAGTTTAGACAATTAACCTAAAATTTTAAACACAATAAGTGGTAGTGATAGAATTTAAATTCACCATTATATCTCATCACTGCAGAATTGCATTATGTACTAAATTATAGCTGAAGTATCTATTTCATGTGAGAAAATTATTTTACATTTCTGATTATTTTGCTCAATCCTTTTTATTTATTTTCTAGTATTAAATATTTTATATGATGATTCAAAGAACATATAACACATTTTTTAAATCCCCCCAAAAGAAACTGGGATTGATACATAAAATAAGAAAAAAATATTAAACAAAAAAATTTAAAAAGAAAAAAAGAAAAAAAGCAACCAAAACAAGACACCTTTAAAGTTTTTGCCTTAAAGCAGCTACTTCTAAGAGTTGTTGATAAAAAGTGACAGTTAAGTAAATAAAAGGAATTCACAATTTTGCCTGTTTCCTGTGTTTCTTTCTTCTTCCTTCTGTTAACTGCTCTATCCCTTTAAAACAACTATGTTCTAAAATTTCAAATTAATGGAGATAAAAAGACCCCCCCACACACACACACAGAGAGAGAGAGAGAGAGAGAGAGAGAGAGAGAGAGAGAGAGAGCAAACAGGTATAGCCTCAGACATCTCCGAATCATGAATCTGGGGTTCCTAATGCTGACTATGGGATAGAGATGGTCATTTTTTGCTAATTGACAGAACTAGAGTGTGATGGCTGAGTTACTCCACAGCTGAACTTGTGAGGGTCTTCTAGCCCTCATCAGATACACCTTCAGCATCTCATAGAGAGACCAGAGAATCCATACCTACTTTTAAAATCAGCTTTATTCAAGTTCAGCAATATTCAGAGTATATTTTGATAGATCACATCATCTGTAGCATGAACCAAAGCGATGCTTGTGTGAAACATTTCCATCATCCTGAATCACTCCTCAGTATCTCCTCAATGTCTGCTCTCCAACTCCCAGAAAAAGACAAGCATAGCTTCCTGCTACTGGGAAAACCATACTGAATGTAGTCTTTTGTGTCTGAATTGTTTTCTTCTTGTTTTAAAGTTACCACAGAGAGTAATGCCTCCAACTGTGGTGAATGGTATAGTGTCTAGTTTCTTTTCTTTCTTTTTTTTTTTTTTGATTACATTTATTCTTTTGAAATTTCATCCACGTACACAGTGTATTCTGTTTACTTCACCCCTACCTTCTCTTGTCTCCTCCCACCAGTGTTATTCTTTTCCTACATTCATGCCTTTTGTTTTGTTTGGTTAGTTTTGTTTTGTGACCTATGGGTTTACTAGAACTGTCTGGCCACAGGCTTGGAACTATGCACTAGAGTTTTGTAGGCTCGTCACTTTGGTACACAACTGAAGGCCATGCCTGCTCCTCCCCACATTCATCAGTGGCAATAGCTCAACTAGGAAAGGTAGGAACCCATTAACACCTCCCTGACTTATGTTGGCTCTTGATGGGCCCAGTTTTGTGCAGGCCTAGTTCAGGCAACCATAGCTACTGTGAGATCCTGGCGACGGCTGTGTCTTGTCCTAGGGATAACATTTTGTATCTTTTCTCACTATCTTGTGCTCTTAAATTCTTTCTATAATGGTCACTGAACATTACTGGGGTTGGTATAAATACCTAAGCATCCCAGGCAGCCATGAATCTCTGTATTCATCACAGACTCTTAATCATCGAAACACTATTCAGATAAAAGTGCATTGATAGTTTCCTCTTCATTTCTAGGTAAGATTCTAGTGGCACGGACATTCTCATTTGCATATATACTTGCTAACGACAGGAATTTATATTGTCTCAATATAAACCTTCTCTGTTATGAACATTCACAGTCAACTCTTTCGCGGTCTTCTAGCTTTAGTTCTTCTTAACTCATATCTAGACAAGAGGTTATGGGTTATAAATGTGTGATACTTTTAGTTTTAGAAGTCACTTTATAGCAAAGCACCGAACTGTTCTCCAGAGTGGCTGAAAGATCTTGCAATTCTAAGAGCAGTATATGAGAACTCTAAATCCTGCACAGCTTCACCAAAATAGGATCGTCAGTCTTTTCACATTTAGCCTTTCCAGTGGGTGTGCAGTGGCATCTCTGTGTGGTTTTAATTTGCATTTTCCTAATGACTAATAGTATGAGCGCTTTTATGTACTTATTTGCCATTTTAATACATTTGTGGGTGAAATCTCTTGCGTTCAGCTGTATTTATTTCATTGTCAGTTTGTTTGTCTTATTATCGTGGTGTTTTGGATGTTCTTGATCACATTTGAGCAGAAATCATGTTCATACATATGCTTAGTGAATTTTTCTTTGCTCTTGTGTCTAAAACTTTGATTTTGTTAGCGGTGTTTTGGAAGACTAAATGTAATGCTGACAAAGTCTAGCCACCAAATTCTTCTTGTGTGGTTCATGCTCTGTCCATCTGCTCCAAGGTCATATGCCTTTAAAGCAGTTTTTATTTCATATTAGCTATGAATCATTGGGAGTTATTTTTTTATGTTGTGAGATAAGAGTGAGGATTTTTTTAATGATTAATTTGTGTAGGGAGAGCTATTTACCCTGTCAAATAGTTCTTCATTAAAATAATTAATCTATTACATATCTTTTTATAATTTATGTGTAATGTAACTGATCTATCTGCCTATCTACCAACCTTACACTATTAGCTGTATTCTAATCTAGCCCTTTCTTTCTCTACTGTGTAGCCTAGAGAGCATCACTAGGTAGTCACATGATCTGTTTAGCTTATTATTTATTTATCTGTGCACATATTTTCATGTGTATTTATGATTATTTGATGATATAAATGACACAGAACTTTAATATTAAACCATGGTGTCAGACATCTGATGTAGATCACTGGCTTAAACTAAGGTATTAGCAGGTCTGACTCCATTTCTAGTGTCTGCACACAACCAATGGCTTCTAATCTTCCTCTGTCTTCCAAGGCTAACAGAATTGAATGATTTTATCTCCCATTGCTACCTCCACAATTCTTTCGCCCGATTCTCTAACCTTGTAAATGACTTGTGTGCTTACTTTGGACCCGCCTAGATAATGCAGGACCATCTCCTTAATGTAAGACTAGCTTATCGTAAGCTTTGATTCTGTCTGCCACCTTAGCTTCCCTCTGTTATGTACATTAGTGTGTTTACTCCTTTCAATGCAGAGCACTATCTAGATATCTGTGGCTGCCCATTGACCTACGTAGCAATTGATCTTATTGCCCACAAGAAAAGCAATGCTAAGGAAATGGTGAAAAAACGAGAGAGACTAGAGAGGTGGTAGGTTGAAGAAGGATGCAGAAGAGAGGTACAAATTGAAATTGCATGAGATCAGAGGTGTTAATAACGGTCATACTTTTGACAATGGTACCTGATGTGGGAAGGTTAGGGTGTGGAATTTCCACAGGGATAACATGTGAGTCTGGAAGGTGGATTAGCAGCTTATAAATAATTAAGGCTTTTTCTGTATTTCTAGAATTGATTTACTGCAATGTATTTGCCGTGGTGTTATTGGAACTTATTTGTGGTGTGTGTATAACACTTCAAGTGTCTCATAGCTTCTGGAGAAATACCATCAAATGAATCATTGGGGACACTGGGTCATTCATGAAGGAAGGAGGGCTGGATTTTTGAAAAAAGAAATGACTGTGGTTCCCTGATGATGAGGGAATTGTGGGATGTGACTATTTACATGGGCTTCAGTGGTGAGCTTGTTCATGGAGGGGAATTCTTACTCCTGGAAAGAAACCCTCTTATATATGAGGATAAACTAATTTTGAACAGTGAGATGGAAAAGAATCATTGCTTTGACCTTTCTAGAGAGGCAGGACAACCTAGATTTTTTTTCCCTACTTGTAGACTACTTCAGGGTTTTATGAAAAATTCTCTGGGAAGTCTGCCACTTACAAAAAGAAAGTCTGCATATGCCCTGATGTATTTACCCAGAGTTCTTATCATAATTACAACATCAGGTATATTTCATGTTCATAAGATGTAGAGACATCCTTCTCTGCTTTTCTGCCTACCTTTCCCCACCGCCCCTCCCCCTTCTTTCCTTCTGGGTACCACATAGTCAAAACTGGCCTCATCTTCACTGCTCTGACCCTCCTATTCCTGCCTCCCAAGTGCTGGGATGACAGGTGTGAGCCATCATGCCTACCTTGTGCAGTGCTTGAACTTAACCGAGAGCCCTGAGCATGTCAGGAAATCACTCCAACTGAGTGATCTTCCTAGCCCAGGATCCTTTGTTTTATCTGGCATCCCTTAGAAATAAGTTTTTGTTTTGTTTGTTTTTGTTTTTGTTTTAAACACAGTTTAGAGACATTGTGAAAAGAAACATGCCTTTTAGAGCCCACTTTAATCATTTCACATGTATTTAAAACTTTCCTACAATGTATTTTAATCATATTCTTTCCTTTCGTCCAATTCCTCCCAGATCCTTCCCACCTCCCTTCCCACCCAACTTCATGTTTGCTTTCTCTCCCCCTTCAAAAAAAGACCAAAACCAGGAAAAAACCCCACCCTTACCAAATCCAAAAAGAACTTAAAAGAAAAAGAAATCAACACGACAACAACTCAGACTAAAACAAAACAAAATTGCACATAAAGAGTTCCACCATGGATTCCATAACTCCTCGTGACATGTTACTATACCCATAGGGCAGAGAATATCGCTCAGCCCTCATAGAAGCTTCTTATGCTAATCAATAGAGACCATAACTGACCAATGTACAGAGAGGGAAAGACTTTGGAACGCACTACCTTAAATGGGAGGAGTGTCTTCATGAGACGACTCCTTCCAAGGTTCAAAGATCCATGCTGAAGAGGAGGAGGAAAGACTGTTAGAGCCAAAGGTGGTAAGTGACTCCAAGAAAACAGCATCTTCTAGACACCAGGTTATTGATGCATATCTGACCTCACAGCATGCCTAGGACCTTCATAGGTTCATAACAGATAAAATAAGAGCACAGAGAAGGGAAAGTAGGCAAAGAGTCCTACCCCTAACTAAGAAGTTATTAGCAATTGAGACATGTCGCAGGAGAAAAACATTCCCCCCCCCAAATGGAATGAATGACATGAACGACCCAGGGTATATCAACCACACTCTAGAGCGGGCCCCATGTCCAAGCAAGTTGTTGGCCAACACAAAACAGATGGCATGTATTTTATATTTTGGCCAGCTTTGTCATTTTCCCCCCTAGTACTCATTTTCCCTTTGCAGGGGCATATTCACTAGAAGTTACCCAGGCAATCTACCCTTGCCCCAAATATAGGTACAGTTTCAAGAATTTGTGGAAACACTAATAATAAGTAGGGAGTATGATCTAAAAGGTTTGTGGGTTTGATCTTTCTTTTTTCTAATGAGGAAACATATTTTCCTTCTTTGCTCACCAAATATAGCACGTGGAATAGTCATTAAAATTCACTCGTCATTGTCTACCGGGACTGCATACCTAGCTTAAAAAGTACAAGGAAGCTGTAATTGCAAAACTATGTTTCAGGAAAGAAATATAGAAGAGTAGCTTGCTGTCAAGTTTTCTGAAGGAGAATATTGAAAATCATTAAGTCAGTGAACTGATTTTGGGCATTAGATCCATCTGTAAAATAATGACATTGGTTGCTGTAAAGTCATTTAATAAAGCTTGTAACTTCTGAAAGATCAACAAGAGTTCATTAGCTATGCTTCTAATCATTGGATCCGACTGTGTTTTCATCCCTAAGCCTTTGTGCAAAGAGATGAAGGTGTTTGCTGAGCCTGACACTCTGCAAAGAAGGACTTATGAAATGCAAATAGTTTTCATCCATCCAAGGCCTTCTCTTGTAAGGCTTGGCTCGGGGACAGTCCACTTCGAAACCCACTCACTGGGGCTATTGCTACATCTCAGGTTCTCGCGACTCTGCTTCAGAGTTCTTAGCTTCTTGTCACAGGGGTTCTTCTTCTGTGGTGTCACTCACATTACATTCTGCCAAAGAAGTAGGGGGAAGTCATGGTCTTACTCTACCCTACTCCTGCAGGTGATATCCTTCTGCTTTCTCCCGGGTTTGCTCTTCTGAGTAAGTCTTCATGTCTACAAATTCAAGACCGCACAAAGAAGGGAGACTCACAAGGCTGTAATGTGATGCCATGGTTTCCATGGCAGTAGCATTTATGCTTATAGTTGTAGTTAACATTTTCAATATAAGTGAATTTACCTTTCCGTCTTTCTAACTTTTAAAGCTGTAATGTTAGTGACATTGAAGCCAGGATCAGAATGAAACTTTCGCAACGACGCCATTTTGTCAGCCATCGGTACCCTCAGCAAGCTTTGTCATGTGACTTTTCTACTTTCTCCACAGTCATCTTGTTGCAGACTCTGCAAAACCTGTCACTGTTGGTCTGAATTTACCACTAGGGATGTTTTTGTTTTGATTTTTTCGTTTTGTTTTGTTTTTACTGCATAGGACATCAATAAAATATGTTCAAAACAGGAGCATTTTACTTTGTATAGGTTGATTTGACTTAATTTTTCCTTCAAAGTAATACATCATAAAAATTGAAGACTGACTACTCATAATTGCAATTTCAGAATCAAACTCCCAAATTCAAAATATCTTCTGATCTCTTAAACAATTTCTGTTTAAAACACACACACACACACACACACACACACACAATGAAATTTTCAGTTCTTTATGTACAGATAAAATGGTCCCATTAGTGGGCTAAGACAGTGTTGACCCCATCAAATTTCAAAAATACAATGCCACTGAAAGTCTCAGTGCCACTGAACCCTAGGTTTATTCAAACATTTAGTTTGTAAAATTATTGTAACTTTAGAAAAACCTCTAATCCCCTAACTTCATTTGTAAAGGAATCTTAAAATGTATTAAATATTGCTCATGTTTTGAAAATAAGTTTTGAAAATTAAAGGACTAGATAAAAACATTCTAAATATATGATATATATATATATATATTTGCTAACTATTCAATATACACTTAATTTTAAACAATGTGATAAATGCTAGTAGTGACAATTTCAATTATTTAACAAGAAAGTACATTTATATTGGGGTCACTAGGATCTCTTTTTAGATGATAAAACTGAAGTTATTGATCCATTTATACTGGAAAGCAGTAATATATCAGATGATGCACTGGTATTTATGACTAGCCCATTATATGCTGTAACATGCTTTAGACTTTATAGATCAACGTGGTTGCCTCTTTATAAGTACCGGTGACTATAACTATAATTGGATTGTCAATGAACATCTCAGAATGAGTTGGGTAGATCAACCAGTGAGAAGGACTAAGAGTTCATGTCTAAATTTTAGTTACTTCAATAGGCTCCATCTTCTCTAGAAGAAACATCTCAAAATTGCTTGAAAAAAATACTGCAAGTTTCCATTTACATTAAATTAAATACTTAATTCTTTCAGATTTTCTAAGTAACAATGAAATCATATCTATTTTATATCAACATAATTAGTTGACTTAATAAGCTCTATGAAAAGATGATTACATTTTTCAATTATGTTATCTCTTGAATTACATAAAAATTATTCTGACAGAACTATTTTGACTAGCAGCCACATTAGTCATACATGTTATGATTCTGGCCCCAGCTTCTCCATTTGCTGCTGACACGCTGGCGAGTCACCTTTCTACAAGGTGAAAACAGCTGAGACCCCCTGCATTAGGGCTGTTGCAAACTGACTATGGAGATAAAGGATTTTAAGTACATGGGATTATAATAGCACATGCGAGCCATACGCACTGTCGTGGGTTACTGGTTGCCCTCAATATGTGCTTCTTTTCTTTTATAAACACTCAGCATCTTCCCTAGCAGGGTACCAGGAGGGGAAGCAGCAGAGCCAGTGAGTCTGACCTGAGACTGTTTCCGATATTTGCTTTCCTAAGCTCAACCTAGTGGAGTAACACGACTTGACGCATATTCCCCAGACAGGGCCGTCTCTGACAACTCATAACAGGCTAGCAGAGGCTAGGAAGGGCCATGTTCATTTCATAATACTAAAAAATTTAGTTTCTTTAAATATTTTTTTCTGCTCCATTTATTCTGGAAATAGCTCATGAAGGTTGTGTTTCACATTTTCTCCAGTACACTACTCGATCTGTATTTAAAAATAGCATTCTTCAATTTTTATATAGCACCATGTATACATATTTTTGTGTATACATATATGCCTGATATTCTTCCATTTTAGCGTTCAGTTTCATAACTTTGTATTTTTTTTTTCCTGGTGCTGGGAATGGAACCTGGGGCCTCATATATTGCCTGACCGTGACATTATACACCCCCACAGGCAGTATTGTTTTTGTCACTGTGTCTTTGTTACTATTGTAAAATATGCTGACAAAAGCAACTTAAAGAAGGAGACATTTATTCTGGCTCACAGGTCACAGAACAGCCCCCATTGGTGGGCAAGTTTAGGCAGCAGGAGCTTGAAGTCATATTACATTTACAATGAGGAAACAGAGAAGGTAAGCATGTGTTTGCTTCTACTGTACTCCAATTCTCTACTCATTCAGTCTAGAATTGCCTGCCCAGGGAATGACCTCAACCACAATTAAGATGGGTTTTCACATATCAGCCAATTTAAGAAACCCCCTAAAGGCAGGCTCGGGGGGCTCTTTGACCAGGTGATTCTAGAGTCTTTCCTTACCCTTACTTCTGAGGGAAGAACAACACTCTTCTGTTTCTGTCTCAAATAGATTTGTTTAACTTTGTTTTCAGTTGTTTTTTTCACATCTGAATCAAAGTGGACTGTGGTATCCAGATTTTGCTCACTTCAACTTTATTAAAGTAGGTCTCCTTCATTGGACTTTTATTAGCTCTCTGTGATTTACTATTTCCAGTCCACAGACTAATTGTTCTTTTAACGCACTGTACTCTAGATTTAAATTGATTTAATGAAATAATATTGCTCTAAAATGTGACCTGAAGCAGCCTAATTGAGTGCTGGAAAAGAGCTCACTCCTGATGAATATTTTGAAAAGAAATCATTCCAGTAATGTCTAGACATAAAATCAGGTAGTTGGACCCCAGCCGAGCTGCAGGGACCTTGTTAGTCTTGTTCTTTGCTACCACAAAATACCCAGGTATTTTGTTGTCTTAGTTTCCTGACCCTCCGTTTCCTACAGTCTCCGCCCCCCACCCACATCAGTACTCCCCAAGCTCATCACAACATTTGGCTATGGGTCTCTGCATCGGCCTTCATCAATCACCGGATGAGGCTTTCTAATGCCAACTGGGATAGTCACCAATCTGATGACAGAGGATGGCCAGTTCAGGTTTTACATCCTCTGTTGTCAGGGTTGTAGCTGGGGACATTCTTGTAGAATCCTAGAAGTTTCCCCCACATCAGGCTTCTACCCAACTCCATAAAGTTCCCCTTCCCAGTCATCTCTCTCAGCATTGTTGCCCTTTGCCCACCCCTCAACCCAATCCCTCAGGTTCCCATGCCCACTTGTCCCTACTATACCCAGGGTATCTCTTCTACTTCTCTTTTTCGGGGAGCTCCATGAGTCACCCTTGGGCCTTCCTTGTTACTTAACCTCTCTGCGTCTGTGGATTGTAGCATGGTTATCCTTTACTTTACAGTTACTATCCACGTATGAGCGAGTACATACCATACCATGTTTGTCTTTCTGGATCTGGGTTAACTCATTCAGGATGATTTTTTTTTCCTAGTTCCATCTATTTGCCTTCAGATTTCCAGATTCACTCTTTTTTTTTTTTAATTATTTTACATATTGATCCCAGTTCCCTCTCCCTCCCTCCCTCCCGTGCCCCTGACCACCCTTCCGTCCCATCCCCCCCACTCCACAAGGAGGGTGACTCTTAACAGATGCTGGGATTCTTCTAGTCTACTTCTTTAAAGTCTCCCAACCTCTGTTACCCAGTCCCAAAATGGCACCCACATTTTCATATATTATTATTGGAAAAGCTTCAATTCTTGGTGCTAACTTTGAATTTATTTTTTGCTGCTAACACAAAATATCCAACTCCAAGTAATGTCCAAGAGAACTGTGTTAGCATCTTATAACTTCTGATTAGGACCTCACACTGTATGATAGACATGTTTTTGTGCAGGAAGTAAACATGAAGAAGGGTTGTAGGCTCTCTTGATGAGATCCTGTTGTCATAAGAATATGCTCCTGGGTGAACCAATCTAGTCTAGGGTGATTTTACCCAGTTTCTCATGAATATTTAATTTATTCATGAAGACATTTTTGCATGATTCATATGTTTCATGAAGGCTTGATCAACTCTCAATATTATTTTTTTATTTAATTTTATATAACAAAGTTCAATTAAATGAAAACAAACATTTATACACAATATTTGGGAATTTGGGCGTCGTTCTTTCCAAACTACTTCCTGCTGGTAAGGGGCACTGTCTTGGGGGATTCGAAGAAGATTCAGATATCCTAGCTGTAGTCTGTAGGGCTGTTTTGTCCAGCTGTTTGGAATGTAACTCTCAATATTATTATATTGAGGAACAAAACTCAAACTGTGGCAACCCCCAATTTGATAGCACCCTCTAAACTCATGATTAGGACATGAATAGTTGTAATTACTGGAGTACTTTTAAACCAAGACAGGGATGGTACTCACTGTCCATCAACCAAGGAGAACTTGCAGCAACACACCTCAGGTACATAAATAGATGTGTGGCACTCATGGATAACAAATACATTGAGCGAGAGATTGCAGTGAATATAGAATGAGCTTAGAAAGAAACTTGAAATGTTCGCACATAACTTGCCACCTCTTAAAAAAAAATACCCAAACCAAAACAAAACAAAATATCCCCAAACTTGCCAAAGATTGATGGTGGGAAATGAAGTGTTTGGGTTACTGAATAATCAAGAGTGTATGGTGACTTCAGTTCACTAAATAAAAGCAGTCTCATGTCATAATCTTCACATATGAACATATCCAAGATTATGAAGAAAAAATAATTCCCCAAATAGCTTCCAGTTTTAAAGTGAGAACAGAAAATGTAGAAGGGAGGTGGATATTCTTAACTCATGGCAGTGCTGAGCATAAGTTTGCTCTTCTGCGATTACGCCTATATTCTGTATATGTGTCTGTAGCATTTGGTACATAGTAGTCACTTCATATATTTTTGTTTGGTAACTTTAGAAGGAGACATTTAGTAAGAGTTGAGTTGTGGGAGAATATCAGCAAATCAGATTGACTCAAGTATCAAGCTTCAAATAAAATAGTTTTTGCCAGTTTTTTTCCATTGTCAAGAGTGCTGAAAACCAAATGTTGAATTCAGTATCAAAAGAGAAGAATTCATAGATACAGTAGTTACAGTTTGGGTTAGAATAATTGACAATGAAAATCAATATGTCATGACTTTTCATT